GAAAAGACAGAAAAAATGAGAAAAGATGAAAGAAAGAAGAAATAAAAGGGAGAAAATGATAAAACTGATTGTAAGTCAAACGGCAGAGGATGAGGCAGCAGCTTTTAGAAACGTTCTGACATTTAGAAAGCTTTCAGCTGCAGGACGGAAGCAGCAGAACAAACAAAGCGTCATTTTCTGAGAGCCAGTCCCATACATGTGATCGACTGTTTCAAGTTGGATCTGATTTAAAACCCAGATAGTTTATGGTCCATAAGTTTCAGCTGAACTGGAAGCTTTCTTTTTCTCCTGGTCCTAAATTATGCAGCCTAATAAAATCTGCTGATCAGATTATCCAGCTCCTGTCCTGCTGTGGCTAATCTATATAATCCACTATATAATCCACAAGCATGAAAACTGTCATCCTGACAGAAAAAAACCACCAGCATCGCTAAAAAAAGCAACATTATATTCTCCTCCTCCAACAAGCTGAACTTTGTTAAATTTGATCATTAATAGAAGAACAAGTAGTTTTTTGGCAGTATAATCCATTAATTCCCAATAAAAATGAACAATAAATAAAGAATTTTATTCTTGTTTTTAATGCAAGTTTAAGGTTATTAGAAGCACTAATATCCAGTCACTATTAGCACTAACTGGATGAAGCCTCTGCCTTTATACAGATATTATTATCCATTAATCACCGGCAGCTTCCAGCTGTTTTTATTACCGCTGTTCTCACGGAGCGGCGAGCGACCCAACAGCCCATCGATCAGCCAATCAGGAGCGTATCTGACGAACCTTCTGCTCAGTTTGGGAAACCCGATCATACCTCCTCTTGCTTGCGAGTGAAGAGTTTTCTGATCTGATTCAGTTTTTTGTAGAGATTGTAAATGGATCAGATCGGTGGCTAAAAGATTTCCTGTGACAGTAAAGGACATGTTGGACATCTGCCTGTAGAAGTTGGTCTGAACCCAGGAAGTACGCCTGCAGTCGTAAAGATAATCTTTCAGGTTTGCCAGAAGCACATTTAGCTCTGGGCGCCGCGGGCCCCTCCATCTTCCTCTCCCTGTCCTCTTCTTCATAGAGAGTAAGTGATGAGGCCCTCCAGAGGAGCCGTCTTCCACATTTGTTATGACTGCCGGAGAAACGAAGGGAGAAGATTGAAGGAGGGGAAAAGTGACGGACGGAGATTGAAAGAGACAACATGTGATTGGTACAGTGAAAAGCTCTCATTAATGGATGTCTGCGTCTGGTTTTCCTCTCCGTATCTGCTCCCTCCGACCTCACAAACAACAACACAGGCCTCCTTCCTTTGCTGTCAGGGAGATGAATCTCCTGCTGGCGACTGGAAAGAAATGGAGCTATGCTGGGGAAATTAAGTCACAGCTATACTTAATCATTTACTGCCACTCCTTCTTCTGGCTGTCTTCCTTCTCTTTACCCATCTCTGTTGTCCTCTGCTAGCTGACAGCGGAGGTGAGGAATGGCTACAGTCTCTGAATGAAATCCCCAGGCTCCCCTAACCAACTGCTCTCAGCATTTAGTGACCCGCCTCAGCTGAGCTGCATTCCTGCATCAGCAGCTGAAGCAGAGAGACTCGTTTCCCTCCCTGCTGCTGGAGAAGGAAATATGGATTTAGAGCTTCACTGTTTTTATACGTCTGTTAGCTAAAAATGTCACAACGTGGCGCTAGCTTACAGCAGAAGGCTGAGTGGAGTCTGAGAGGCTAGAAAATGGACCAGATCATCCATCCGTCCGTCCATCCCTCCAACCATCTGTTCATCCGTCCATTCATCCGTCCATCCATCTACCTGTCCGTCCATCCATCCATCCATCCATCCTTCCTTCTTGTGTCCTTCATATATTTACCAAGGAAATAGTAAATATAGTGATAGAACCTGTATCTGTGTTGGTGGACATCTGCAGCTCAGAGTTCCACTCTGTCCACATTCAGACCAGACCTGGTTTCCATAGAGATTTAAAGCACTAATAAGATCAGAGATCTTGATGGTAATCGATGAGCTCAGTCCTTGATGGATACAACTTATATATATTTTTTTAAAGAACCGATTGGGGGGGGTTACATCTGAGTATTTAGTTGATCTGAATGTTTTCTGTAATCGACCATATTGATGCCATTAAAACCAGTTCTTAATGCTGCTCAAAGCCTCTGCAGATCCTGAATGGGATCTTTTTCTAACAGCAGCTCCACACTGGGAGCTCCAGGCTGCTGCATTATTAACATCCATGAGCCTCAGACATCCTCTATACCAACATGCCTGTCAGGAAGAATTCTGCATAATGCTAAGAAATGACATTTCCACCTAAAATATCCTAACATTTCCAGATGCATTGAACTGAACTCTACAGGAAGCGAAGGTTTGAAGAAGTTTCAAACTTAATCATTTAGAAAAACTGAGGCGGGTTTAATGAATTCACTGTGAACTAAAATTTGAAGATATCTTGTTAAACAGGCTTCCTGGGAAACAACAGAGCAGCTTCTGTCAGATGGAGGTCTGTTTCAAAGGAGTAGGTGAGGGAGTTTATCCTTCCTGCATGTTCCAGCAGATCATTGATCAAAATGTTCATTGATTGCAGCGCTCCGTTATAATCCAACGTTTCTGACAGCTCTGTCCTTAGCAGACCTCAGAGGCTGAACGTCTGCAGACATGGCTGCGTGCGGCGAGGAGAGCGTCTGCATCATCAGCATGTCTGCAGGTGGAGAAAACACCTTCAAAAGGTTGTAGGTTTTATTTAGGCATGTTCCTCCATGGCTGCTCTCCATTTCTACCACGTCTCCTCTGACAGAACCGGAGCAGC